AACTCTGGACTGCTGCAAAGTGGACCAGAGTCCAGAAAACCAAGCTCCGGGAATCCGAGGTAGTCCCACCCTCCAATGGATTTGATCCACATCCCTTGGTCTCAAGTGCCCATAGAGTGACCAAAATCCGCTCACCTTTAATTTCTTGCAAAGACGAAGTGGAATTCTGCAATTTTTGTGTGTTTGATTCAAAAACAGCTGTTTTGTTTGTTTGTTTGTTTTTCATTCTAATAAACCCACTTGGCAAATACTCAGTTATTAGTGGTATTTATTTATTTATTTAAATCATTTCTATCCCATCCTACATGAGAAGAACGTCCCAGGACAGCTTACAAAATTTTTAATAATAACAACAACAAACAATAACAAAAGTTATATCAATTAATAACAACAAATAACCCTATAAACAGCAAAAACACAATCTCAGCAAAAGTCCAAATCAAAATCAAAGTCGGAAACAAAGGCAAAACCAAAAACGATAAGGGACTGTGGATGTTAAAACCAATTAAAATTTCTAAATAAAAAGGTACAGTGGTATTTCAGCTCATGAATGCCTCAGTTCATGACCAAATCAGGTCGCGAACTCCACATTGGGTGACGAGCACGATAGTGCCCGCCTTCCTTGCACGGGCGCGATCACAGTCGTGCTGGGGGTAGGGGGGAGATTTGTTTGTTTGTTTAGGAGATGTATAGGCTGTCCATCACTGTCGTCTCTGGATGGCATACAGTATATTATAAATCCTAAACAAAACAAGTTGGCTACACCACGAATGAGAATAAAAATGGCATGGTTAAAAAAATATGGACTGATATTTTAAAGTTAATCAACTTTAATTGTATTTTTATTTATTTAAAGTTGATTAACTTTAAAATATCGGTCAAATAAAAAGGTCTTGACCTGGTGCCGAAAAGCATATAATGATGGTGCCAGGCAGACCTCTTTGGGGAGCGCATTCCATAGTTGGGGCACCACTGCGAAGAAGGCCCTCCTCCTAGTACTCTTGTCTCCTGACCTCTTTCACAGAGGGTTCCTGAAGGGGGGCCTCTGCTGCCTATCTTAGGGGGCGGGAGAGCATATAATGAAAAAGGCCCTATGGCCGCAATCTTTGTTGTTTTTTGTCACTTTGTTTCAAATTTTTGTGATTTAAAAAAAAATGGTTACAGAACGGATTAAACTTATTTACATTGAACTTATGGGGAAATTTGACTTGGGTCATGACCAATTTGGGTTGTGACTGGAGTCATGGAACGGATTAGTTTGTGAGCCAAGGTACCACTGTATTTGACTCACCAGTGCTATTTGAACGTTCGACTAACCAGTGGACTCTTAAAAGAGAGAGAGAGAGCAAAGACCAACCCTGCATAGGTCCTTCTGGGAGTTGGCAGGTTCCCCGTCCAGCTGGTGGTGTGGAGCATCCTGTGTGTGGCAATAACAATTCCTTCTTTCTTCAGGTTCTGGTGACCTCTGAGGAAGTGACCGTTTATTTTACGGCGGAGGAGTGGGCGCTGCTGGATCCGGGCCAGAGGGCTCTCTACAAGGAAGTGATGCTGGAGAATTACAGGAATGTAGCTTCCCTGGGTGAGTATCAGTCATTTCCTTATGCTTCCTTTAGCGCTGTTAGGGATTTCACACTGCCGTGGGTAGGGGGTTGCTGAGCCCTGGGCCGGATCCTGCTCTCTGGGCTGTGCTGTTACAGCCCTGAGCTTGCCTTGAGCTTTGCCACAGGGACAAGTGAGGACTGCTCTGGGTTGGGTCACTTGCCACCCCAAGGGCCTGGAGGGCCCCTCCATTCTTCCGCCCTCTCCCTTCCCCAGTTTAATTGCCAGGCCCTGGCGGAGGGACAGATTCTGCATTCTGGCTCTCCTTCCTTCCTTTCCCCACCTGGGATCTGTGTAGCCAGGCTCACTCGGAGGAGGTGCGATTACCTGGCCGGCATGCACGATAGCCGAAGGGACACACAACGGCTGCTGAGCGGCTTTATGGGGGTGCATGCTGGTCTTTTTCTCCCACTGAAGGTTTTCTGCTTGGCAAACAATCGTCAAGATTAGCACTAGTGCCAGAGAGATTCTAGGCATCACTTGAATTCCTTGGGCCTATCCCAAGCGACCTCAACCTCAAGGCAAGGTGGCTTTAGCCAGGTGCTTTGAAGTCAGTCAGTGGGTTTGGTAGCCCCACCTGGCCACATCCTCTAACAAAGACGTCCCCAGTTGGAGAGTTCCTCATTTGGTTCCTCTCAGTGTGGAGTTCTCTACCATGAGAGGCAGTGAAGGCCTCCCCATTCGGATGGCTTCAAAAGGGAATTGGACACTTTATTTTATTTTATTTAAAATATTTATATGCCGTCCTAATCGCAAAAATGCCTCAGGACAGCTTACAATATAACTTTCGTGGCTGCTGGTCCCAATAGCTCCAAGCCAGCTCCTATCCCAGGGGAGATCTGCCCATGTACACCAGGTGCAGGGGAACATGGGTGGGAGGGTGCTGACACAGTCTTTCATGAGACACGGGTTGGCCACTGCATGAACAGAATGCTGGGAAGATGGACTCGTGGTCCGATCCAGCACGGCTCGTATGTCCCTCCCAGGGTTGGGATGGGCCCTGTGGGAATCCGTCCCTCTGACATCTGCACACTTTCTCTTGCGCTCTGCCTGGCCCTGCAAAGTCAGCTGAGCCAAGAGGAAACGCTTGTGGGCCCTCATTGCACAACCAGCGACCTTCCCATCAGGCGCAGCTTCCCAAAGCACGGCTGCAACATGCAGAAGAGGGCTGCTGTGAGCGGCTGCACCAGGTGCCATTCCTGATGGCCAACCTTCTTCCCCGTCTGGTGGGGACAGCAGCCCAGCTGCAGAAGAGGGGCACTGCTTGCACGGATCATGGGACTCGATTCCTGGGGAGCGCCCTGCAGATGCTGGGAGTGCTCCCCAGGGACATGGGCCCAGGGCTGTTGCAAAGCGAACCAGAGTCCAAGGAGCTGAGCTGGGGAACCTGACGGATTCCCATGCCCAAACAGTTCCTGAGAACATGAGCACAGAAGTGGGTAGAGACCTGTTCTCCCCTGCAGAGGAGGGCAGGATGCGTTCCAATGGAGCCAAGCTAAGGGAATCAAGGTTCAATTTGGATGCCAGGAAGTACTTCCTGGTGGTTAGGACCCCTAGGGTATGGAATGTGTTCCCACAGGAAGTGGTTGAAGCCCCATCAGTGAGGGTGTTCAAGGATAGGCTGGACATGCACATGGTAGGCATGTCATGAAGTCCAGGCCCAATTTAAGGATGACCTATTAAGCCCTAAATGGCTTGGGTCCTGGATACCTGAAGGAGCGCCTTCTCCCTTATGAGCTCTTGTGCCCCTGAGATCTGAGTCAGAGGCCCTCCACTGGGAGCCGTCCTTTCGAGATCAAGAGGGAACTACACATAGTTCTCTGCGGTGGCACCCCGATTGTGGAACACGCTCCCCAGAGAGGTCCGCATGGTGCCAATGCTTCTTTCCTTTCGGTGTCAGGCAAAACCCTTTTTATGCTCCCAGTATTTTAATTGTTAACTTGTTTTATATAGTGGAGTTATATTTTAACATTGGATGTTAAGCAACTGTTATTCTTATGTCTATTTTTAGGATTAATTGGCTGTAAACTGTCCCGAGAAATCTAAGTATTGGGACAGCATAGAAAAGTTTTAAATGAATGAATAAATAAATGAGCAGAGCCAGCTGGACCCAGGGGTCAGACTAGATGGACCAGGAGGCCCCTTCTGATTTGCTCTGTTTCTAAGTGCTGCTGAGCTCATCTCCTGTTTCTGGGCTTTCACTTGGGCATCTGGTTGGCCACTGGGGCACCAGGCCACTGGGCCAGGGAGGCCTCTGATCCAGAGCAGCAGAGCTATGAGGTTCAGAGAGCAGACCCCCAAAAGGCTTCCTTCTGGGTAGACCATTACAGGATTGAATTTTCCACCCCAGCCTTGCTTCTCCTTAGACTGCAGTGGTGCCCTACTTGGGTGTCCTCATGGGCAGCTGGTGCAGAATGCAGGGAAAATAGACTCATGGCCTGATCCAGCCCAGTTCTCCTTATGCTCTTAGAATCACAGAATAGTAGAGTTGGAAGGGGGCATGAAGGCCATCAGATCCAACCCTCTGCTGGTGCAGGGCACCACGTTACATCATCCCACTCAGATGGCTGCCCAGTTTGTTTTGGAATGTCTCCAGTGTGGGAGAGCCCAGGACCTCTCCAGGCAGCTGGTTCCACTGTTGTATTGCTCTGACAGTGAGGAAGCTTTTCCTGATGTCCAGCCTGAATCTGGGTTGTCACAACTTGAATTGATTATTCTGTGTCCTGTTATTCCATGTCCTCTTGCCCTGCTCTGACTTTGTACCTGGCAGCATATTTAAGCCACCTCTTCTCTCTCTCTCTCCACATTCCAGCAGAAGATGGGCAGGGCGGTTCCTATTCTCAGGAGCAGTTCCACATCTCATCCAGAACAACCCAGGAAGAAACAAAGGATGAGACCTTTGAGAATCACTATGGCTCGAAGAGACAGGAGCAAAGTCCAGAAAAGACTGGTGGGAATAAAGGCACTCTAAGCCAGCAGAAAGACCACCAGGGAAAGGACAGGAGTGGGCATTTCTCATGTGGGAAACCCTTCCATTCTAAACCTGAACTTAGTCTGCACAGCAGGAGTCACACAGGGACTGTAGGACAGGACTGTGGAGAGCGTGTCTACCGCACCACATACTTTATTTCGCATCGGAGTGTACACACCAAGGAGAATCCATTTGCATGCCTGGAATTAGAACAGAGCTTCAGCCATCCTACAACTCTCACCAGGCATCAGGGAACCCACACAGGGAAGAAACCATACAGATGCTTGGAGTGTGGAACAAGCTATACTCAGAGGTCACAACTTACTTTGCATCAGAGAATACACACAGGAAAGAATTCTTCTAAATGCTTGGATTCCAGAAAGAGCTTTTGTCAGAGAACACACCTCACATCCCATCAAAGACTTAACACATTTCAGTGTTTGGAGTGTGGAAAGCACTTTCAGCAGCGCACGGCTCTTACTAAACATCAAAGATGTCACCGAAGGGACAAACCTCACAGATGCCTTCAGTGTGGAAAAGGCTTCAGTCAAAAGTCAAGCCTTCTTTTACATCAAAGAGTCCACACTGGAGAGAAACCGTATAAATGCATGGAGTGTGGAAAGAGCCTCGGCTACAGTTCTCAACTTAATCAACACCGAAGAATACACACAGGGGAGAAACCATTTGTATGCAAGGACTGTGGAAAGAGCTTCTGCCACAGCACAAGCCTTAGTTCACACAGGAGAGTTCACACTGGGGAGAAACCATTTAAATGCTTGGAGTGTGGAAAGAGTTTCAGTCATAGCACGTACCTTACTTCACATAAGAGATTACACACAGGGGAGAAGCCATACAAATGCCTGGAATGTGGAAAGAGTTTCAGCCAAAAAGCACACCTTACTTCCCATCAGAGAATCCATACAGGGGAAAAGCCATATAAATGCTTGGAATGTGGAAGGAGCTTCACTCAGAGCTCACACCTCACTTTGCATCAGCGAGGCCACACTGGAGAGAAGCCGTATAAATGCTTGGTATGTGGAAAGAGATTCAGCAATCGCACCTATCTTACTTGCCATCAGAGGATCCATACCGGAGAGAAGCCATATCTGTGCCTGCAGTGCGGAAAGAGCTTCAGCCAGAGTTCAAGCCTTATTTCACATAAAAAAACCCACACTGGAGAAAAACCATATAAATGCATGGAATGTGGAAAAAAATTCAGTCATAGTTCTCAATTAACTCAACATCAAAGAATACACACAGGGGAAAAACCATATGCATGTTTACAATGTCAAAGAAGCTTCAATAGTAGCAGTGGCCTTACTTCCCACATGAGAGTTCACACAGGAGAGAAAATGTATCAGTGTCTGGAATGTGGAAAGAGGTTCAGCCATGGTACAAACCTTACTTCACATATGAGAATCCACACAGGGGGGAAACCATATCGGTGCATCGAGTGTGGAAAATACTTCAGTCACAGGACAAGGCTCACTACACATCAAAACATCCACAGATGGAAGAAACCATATACCTGTTTTGAGTGTGGAAAGAGCTTCAACTCTAGTTCAGGTCTTACTTCTCACCGCAGAATCCACACAGGAGAAAAACCATAGAAATGCATGGTGTGTGGAGAGAACTTTTCTCCACTATACCACACTCCCTACTTTGCATCAGAGAATTCACAATGAAGAGATAAATGACTCGGGTATGAAATGAACTTTTGGTGGAATGCATGCTTTAGTTTAAATCAAAGAATGCACACAAGAGAAAATCCACATGCGTGTTTGGAGTTGGAAAATGCTTTCGGTGCAACACATACTTTATATCCATGAAAGAATGTACATGGGAGATACACCATAAAATCATTGGATCATATCAGAAGTCTTTATTACCAGGAGCCCCATAGAACTAAAACTGCCTGGAGGACTTAGACTATAATAATAATAATAATAATAATAATAATAATAATAATAATAATAAT